AGATGCAAAAATCCTCAACAAAATTTTAGTAAACTGAATCCAATACATTAAAAAGATCATTCACTATGATTAAGTGAGATTTATACTTGGGATGCAACTGTGGATCGATATACACAAATCAATTGACATGATACATCACATCAGTAAAGAAAAGATAAGAGCCATATGATCATTTCAACAGATGTAGAAAAAGCATTTGACCAAATACAATATCCATGTATAATAAAAACCCTCAACAACATAGGTTTAGAGGGAACATACCTCAACATAGTAAAGGCCACATATAAAAAAATTAAAGCTAGCATCATACACAACGGTAAAAAACTGAGAGCCTTTCCCCTAAGATCAGGAACAAGACAAAGATGTCTACTCATCACACTTATTCTACATAGTGCTGGAAGTCCTAGCTACAGCAGACAAGGCACCCAAATCGCTAAAGAAGAAGTAAAATTCTTTGCAGGTGACATGATACTATATATAGAAAACCCTAAAGACTCCACCAAAAAACTGCTAGAACTAATAAATTCAGTAAGGGTGCGGGATACAAAATCAACTTACAGAAATTCATTGTATTTCTATGCACTCCCAATGAAGTAGCAGAAAGAGAAATTGAGAAAAGAGGGCCATTTGCAACTGTACTAAAAATAATAAAATATCTTACAATAAACTTAGCCGAGGAGGGGAAAAGCCTGCACTCAGAAAACTATAAAACATTGATGAAAGATAGTGAAGACAACACAAACAAATGTACAGGCAGCCCACACTCATGAACTGAAGACTAACTATTGTTAAAATGTTCATATTATCCAAAAGCTATTTATAGAGTTAATGCAATCGCTGTCAACATATATATCATTTTTCACACAACTAGGAAAAAACAGCCCTAAAATTTGTATGAAACCACAGAAGACCCCTAAAATAGCCTAAGCAAATCTCCAAAAAGAACAAGATTGAAGGCATCACAATCCCAGATTTCAAGATACGCTACAAAGGTGTAGTAATCAAAGAGTATGGGATTGGCACAAAAGGACAAACATAGAACACTAGAACAGATAGAGAGCCCAGAAATAAACTCACAGTTATAGGGTCAACTAATCTCGGATGAAGGAAACAAGAATGTGCAATGGGAAAAAGTGTTTTCAATAAAAGGTGCTGGGAAAACTGGAGAGACGCATGCAAAAGAATGAAACGACCACTTTCTTATACCCTACACAAAAATAAATTAAAAATGAATGAAAGATCCAAATGTGAGACCTGAAACCATGAAACTACTTGAAGGAAACATTGGCAGAAAGCTCTCTGACATCAGCTGTGACAACATCTTTCTACATATGTGTCCTCAAGCAAGGGAAACAAAAACAAAAATAAACCTTTGGGACTACACCAAAATAAAAACCTTTTACACAGCGAAGGAAACCATCAACAAAATGAAAAGCCAACCCAATGACTGGGAGAAGATATTTGCAAATGTCATATCTGATAAGGTGTTACTATTCAAAATCTATAAATGACTTACACAACTCAATACCGAAAAACCCCCAAATAATCCAAAGAGGCAGGGGACCTGAATAAACATTTTTCCAAAGACAAACAGATGGCCAAAAGACATATGAAACGATGTTCTACATCACTAATCATCAGGTAAATGCAAATCAAAATCATAATTAAATATAACCTTCCCCAATATAGCCTTATCCAAATGGCTAGAATTAAAAAGAAATAACAAGTGATAATGAGGATGTGGAGAAAAGGGAAACTTGGTGTAGTGTTGGTGAGAATGTAAATTGGTGTAGCCACTATGGAAAATAGTATGGAGTTTCCTCAAAATAGAATTCCTTAAAATTCTTTAGATTCTTTAAAAAGAGAATGGTCATATGATCCAGTAATTTTGCTACTCAGTATTTACTCAAAGAACACAAAAAACTAATTCAAAAACATATGATCAGATCTCTGGTCACTGCAGCATTATTTGCAATAGCCGAGGTATGGAAGCAACCCAAGTGCCCATCATCAGGTGAATGGATAAAGAAGCAGTGGTATATATACACAATGGAATATTACTCAGCCATAAAAGGATGAGGTTATACCATTTGTGACAACATGAAGGAACCTAGAGGGTATTCTGCTGAGTGAAAGAAGTCAGAGGAAGACAAACACTGAATTATTTCAGTTAAATGTGGATTGTAAAAAACCAAAAAGCAGAAACAGACCTATAAATACAGAAAGCAAAGTGGTTGTTGCCAAAGGGAAGGGATGTAAGGCTTTGGGAAAAATGGGTGAAGGGGAGTGGGAAGTACGGACCTCCAGTTATGGAATGAATAAGTCAAGGGGATGAAAGGTGCAGCACAGAGAATACAGTCAGCGATATTCTAAAGCAGTAAGTCAAAGGTATCATAAAAGCATTGCATAGTGATGGACTGTAGCTTCACTTGATCGGAGGACTGCATAATGTATGGACTTGTCGAATTACTGTGTTGTACACCTGAAACTAATGTAACATGTTGTATCAACTATACTTTAATAAAAACTTTTTTAAATAAAAAATTTCAATAGTGCGGTATCAAGAACTCAGAAACAGTCCCAAACTTCTATCACAACTTGGTACATGACTGAGAAGGGACGATAAATCAATGGGGGGATAAATGAGCCTACAATATATGGTGTTAGGACAACTGTCTATCAGTATGAACAAAAACACCTCTCTCCCCAAATCTCAGTTAGATTAGAGGCCTCAATGTAAAAAATAAAAGTTTAGGGGCACCTGGGTGGCTCAATCAGTTAAGCTGTGGACTTCAGCTTGGGTCATGATCTCCCGGTTCCTGGGTTTGAGCACCGCGTTGGGCTCTGTGCTGACAGCTCAGAGCCTGGAACCTGCTTCAGATTCTGTGTCTCCCTCTCTCTCTCTGACCGTCCCCCACTCACACTCTGTTTCTCTCTCTCTCAAAAATAAACAAACATTTAAAATAAATAAATAAATAAATGAAAGTTTAATATTTTATAAGTGAGAATACTCTCACTACCCCAGTGTACAGGCTGAATTTCTTAAACAGGACAAAAAGCATGAACTGCATACAAACACACACACACACACACACACACACACACACACACACTCTGATAAATTTCACTACACTCAAAATTATAAATATGTCCTTTTTTAGTTTCTTTTTATATTTTTAGTTTTCTTTTTTTAATTTTATTTAAATCCAAGCTAATAAACATACAGTGTAGAATGGCTCCTGTGACAAAATAAATCATAATCAAGTTAAAGACATAGTGGGAGGAGATATTTGTAATATAAACTACTAATAAAAATCAATTTTTATGGTTGAGTAATATTCCATTGCATGTGTATGCATACACACACATACATACACATAGAACACACTTACACACCCCACATCCCTTTTATCCATTCATCTATTGATGGACGTTTGGGTTCTTCTATATCTTGGCTATTGTACTTAATGCTGCAATAAATAGGGGTGCATAGATCTTTTCAAATTAGTGTTTTTATTTTAACACTGTGTGTCAACTATACTAAAAAATTAGCATCCACTTCATTTAAAGCAGTCTCATAAATCAATAATAAAATATTTTGACTATCATGATACTACTGGTAATGTATAGGCACCAACCAGCAAGAAGAAAGCAAAACAATATGAATGAAAACTTGGAAAAAAGAGGCTACTCTGGTACATACCGGCTGAATACCAGCCCTCCAAAAAGTCCTAAAGAGAAGTCAATAAAAGACTTGTGAACACAAAACAGTTTTAAGTCCCCCCTCAAAAAAAATTTAAAAATGAAATTTGAAATGTTATCCTCCAAGCAGGGAATTAGCTTTGGAAAACAGAAGCCAAATGCTTGCATGATAATATATTAGGTTAAGCCACATGAAATGACCATTTTTGTAAATAAAAGATGGTCCAAGACTCTAAATTCCTTATGATTCCACCTCTATATTCTTCATTTATCCCTGGTATTATAAACTGCATATCCAGAATGTTTCAACCTATGGAACTAAAGACAGAATCTACCTACTAATTAATGGGCTTGAAACAATTTTTTCAGATAAGACTAAAACTTGATTCTACTCAATTATATAAGGCAGTTTTATTTATTTTATTTTTTTATTTTTTAAGGTAGTGTTAAAGTATTGTGTTTTCCTGGAATGCAATAAAAAACTGTTTTGTAGCCCACCAAAAATGTAATTCTTTGTCAAAAACTGTAAAAATATGATTAGATAATTACTAAAAGCCTAAAGCCGAATGAGAGAAAATCTAACTTGACTGAATTTGCAAACACTTTTTTTTCCATTTTACCTCACAAAAATCAACTTCTTTGTATCTCTATACTACAAAAATTCTACTGATTTTTGGTTTTTGAAATAGCATCACTGTTGGCTCCTTAACTTTAAAAGGTTCTCACAAAATTTAAGAACAATCTTCAATAAAAGTGCTCTGACAATTTCTAAAATTAAACACGGTTTTGTTTTCATAGATATTTTGGCAATCAAAAACAAAGAAACGCAGACAGTCATAAACAAGAAAAAATATGCTCAACTTTCCTTACTTCTGTTATTCCTATTTTCTTCCCTTCCTTAGCCTTTACCTTCCACCCTCCCTCTTTCCTCTTTCCTTCCCTTCCTTCAGTCTTGAAGCTAACATCAAAAAATGTTGATAACTGGGGTGCCTGGGTGGCTCAGTCAGTTAAGCGTCCGACTTCAGCTCAGGTCATGATATCACAGTTTGTGGGTTCGAGCCCTGAGTCGGGCTCTGTGCTGACAGCTTGGAGTCTCCTTCAGATTCTGTGTCTCCCTTTCTTTCTCTGCCCTTTCCCCGTTCACACTCTTGTCTCTGCTTCTCTCTCAAAAAATAAATAATAAACATTTAAATTATTAAAAATGTTAATAATTGTTAATACTAATTAACAGCTGTATCTTGTCCTGGTACTGTAATGTATTAATATTTAGAAAAAGGGAAATTAAAAAAGGTTTTTACCTTTGCCTCCCTTACAGTGAATTGCTACGATGTTTTCATCATCTTGAGCCATCCACTCCTCTACTTCCTTGGTGAATGCCAGCATCTCACTGATTTCAAATGTAAAATTTTAATTGAATTAAAATAACAGCTACAAATCAAGCCCAGTGTATTTAGCTTTCTTTTGATAGCCAACTTGGCATAAAACTTACCTTAGTGTGGGGACATTGTGATCATCAATCATGATTCGCCGGACCCTGTAATGGAAGTACTTAGGATCATAAGCTCTTTCACCTAGAAGAAAAGATGCATGGGTCATATCTCTATGCCTAAATAACATAGTAAATAATCAAATTATGAATAAGTTATATGTTTGTATTATAAATTCCTTATCCACCTTTTAAAAGGAGGTTTCTGACTGGCTCTTGCTGCTGTAAGAATATTAAGGGTCTGAAAAACAGAGCTAGTAGTGGTTAGTCCACCTTGAGTAACCTAGGCACAATTTATTTGGGTTTAACAGGACTTACTTTTAATTTTCTAGCAGGCTACTCATCATATTATCATAGGGCAGACAGACACCACAGATCAGAAGCAAATGTGGCCAACCAGAGTGCTTGCCTCCCGGAAATGTTTATTTAATACACAGGAAGAGGAAAAGTCAAGAGAGCAGTGAGCTGGGATATAATCTGTTTTCTACAGGGTTTTGCTTTTTGAGCATATTTTTCCTTGTTTATTGACTACTTGCTTTTTTTTTTTTTTACATTGGGGTTTTGTTCTGCTCACACTCCACTCCTAGTGAATTAGAAATGTATTTGTTGGGGCATCTGGGTGGCTCAGTTGGTTAAGTGTCGGACTTCGGCTCTGGTCATGATCTCATAGTTCATGGGTTCGAGCCCTGTGTCGGGCTCTGTGCTGGCAGCTCAGAGCCTGGACCCTGTTTCGGATTCTGTATCTCCCTCTCTATCTGACCCGCCCCTGCTCTCTCTCTCTCTCTCTCTCTCAGAAATAAATAAAACATTAAAAAAATTAAAAAAAAAAAGAAATGTATTTGTTGACTTATCTGTCTTCAAAACACAAGCTGGCAGGAAAAATAGAAGTATTTTCCTAATCCTAATACCATTAGAGCAGATTCAGCCTCAAATGGCTCTGTTTCCACTTACGCCTCCTGCCGCCCTCACAGGCATTTATACTATTGATCTGTCTTTTCCTACAAAATAGAGCCAGTGCAACATGGAGATTTTTCCACCACCACCAAATACTTAAGATTAAATTAAATGTAAAAACAGATTCATCTTCTTATATGCAGTGATCTGTTTTCTATTGATAGTAGCAAAATATCTGACCGTGTACATACTGCATAGATTGTAGACTTGATAGTGGTCTTGATGCTTGGTATCTAGGAAGCGCACAACTTCCTAGAAAAAATAGACACATTTGTTACATAAATGCACGTGGCACCAACAGAAACCATTCCTCAAGAGTAAGCTATAATGGTCATTACCTTTTTTTTTTTTAATTTATTTATCTATTTTTAGAGAGAGAGGAAACACGAGAGTGGGGTAGAAACAGAGAGAGGGGGAGAGATAGAGAGAATCCCAAGCAGGCTCTGAACTGTTAGTGCATAGTCCGACAAGAGGCTCAAACTCATCAACCGTGAGATCATGACCTGAGCCAAAATAAGGAGTTAGACGCTTAACCAATTGAGGCACCCAGGTGGCCCTAGTCATTACCTTTTATTCACTTGTCCCTCACTTAGTACGTTTTAGGGGAGACTGAGTATGTACATTCCAAGCCTATCTCATCCCCTGATGGCTTCCAAATAGCCCACAAAGTTGTGCTTGACTATTCTGATTAATCTCTACTATAAATACACAGTTTAAAGCTACCAGAGAAAGTTAACTGGCTTTAAGTAAAGCTGTTCCGAATTATGAATTCACAGGAATATGTGGTTCTTATTTTCTAAATAGATAGGTTTTTTAGATAATGATTCGGATATTACAATCTATCTATGCACCTTTAAATGAATAAATAAATGCAAAAATGTATAGTACGATTGCGTGTAATATGCATGACACTGGACATGTATGATATATATGATATGATATGGTATGATTATGGTATTATATGCATGATAGAAAAAGATAAACATATTATGTTAATTTTAGTTAAATGTGGCAATATGGAGGCTTTTTTGGATCATCTTTGTTTTCATATTTTCTAAAATAAATACATATGTGTGCATAAATGTATATATGTATACATTTATGTATGTATTTACATATTTATATAAATACATTTATATATATGTATATAGACACAAATTTGTGCATACATGTATAACTTTTCACATAGAGATTATTTAAAATGGCTACTATCAGCATACTAATACAATATTTCCAGCAAATTTATCTGAAATACACACACATATGTATATCTGTACAACAAAAGAACTGTAAGAAAGCTCAAAAATGGATGAGTATAGTACCCTGAGCAATGTTTCCTGGCTTCGTATTGAGGAAAAGAAAAATTAAGATATCAAAATGATCAATCAGTTAAACTATCAGGAGGAAATAGTACGTAAAAAAGATAAACACTCTGAGTCTGCATAATACTGAGATGGGGGGGATAGACTCATACACATCAAAAATTGATGAGATCCTTTATACCAAAATAAAATCCAGATTGACTGAGGAATCAAATATAAAGAAACACAAATATCTCTAAGAAAGTTAAGTGACCATTAACCACTTCTTTGGATAAGGAAAAGCACTGTTAAATCAATGGAAGATCAACAGATTTAGGTTCGACTTTATAAAAATTTGAAATTTCTATTTTAAAAAATGCTGCAGTACAGCAAACATATAACAGAGGAGAATATTTTTTAGATAAAAAATTTAGTGAATGGGAACTATGTCTAATATTATCTATAAATTAGTTATGCTAGTATAAACTAGTAACTTATAACAACAATTTAAATAGTATCCCCTCAACCTATAGATAAATGGACCTAGGACATAACTAAATTCATAAAGGAGAAAATCTTTTTTTTAATTTAAATGTTTTTATTTTATTTTTGAGACAGAGAGAGACAGAGCATGAGCAGGGGAGGGGCAGAGAGAGGGAGACACAGAATCTGAAGCAGGCTCCAGGCTCTGAGCTGTCAGCACAGAGCCTGATGCAGGGCTCGAACTCATGAACTGCGAAATCATGACCTGAGCCGAAGTCGGACGCTTAACCGACTGAGCCACCCAGGCGTCCCCATAAAAGAGAAAATCTAACTATGTAACAACTTACATAGATAAATATTCAGCCCCACCAAAAGAAGTCTAAAACAATAAAATCCCATCTTCCCCCATGAAATTAGCTCTTTCCTTTTTAATGAGAAAATCCAATGGTGGCAAAGTGGCATGAAAATGAAACATTTCTTTCATTGCTAACACAATCCCTTGGATTTGGCAATATATATATTGAAAACCCTAAAAATACTCAATACTCCATAACCAGGTAACTTTACTCCTAGGAATCTATCCAGAAAAGGCTTTGTGTCTTGGCTGTGGCATTAATAATACTGGTGACACTTACATATCCAACATTCAAGATTGATTAAAGCACTAATGAAATATCATGGCACCATTAGAATACTGTCTTGACCTTTATTCTTGGAACAAGTAAATATGTTACAGTGGTTAATTTATGTGCAACCTTCTTTAGTATACCCACACTTAAAGATAGTATTTGATTTTTATGAAGAAATTAATATGCTTGGATGGCTAAGCTTCGAGATTTAAAAAATCACCTTCATATTTCTCTATGTGTTTAAAACAACTCAAGAATTTGAGTTTTCCTTAAGAGTCCATCCTGGACTCAATACATGAAGAATTTGCTGCTGTGTTTTCTGATCTGAATAGTTTATCTGAAGATTCCAAATACTTATTAAACCAATTAGCTGAATAGAGACAAAAAACATCTAAGAGAAAGTTCAACTCTGCCAAGAAACTACATTAAAATTTTTTTTCAAGTTTTTATTTATATCCTTGTTAGTTAACATATGCGGTAAAATTGGTTTCAGATGCAGAATTTAGTGATTCACCACTTACATGTAACAGTCAGTGCTCATCACAACTAGTGCCCTCTTAATACTCATTATCCATTTAGCCTATTCTCCAACCTCTTCCCTCCATCAACCCTAGGTTTGTTCTCTGTAGTTAAGAGTCTCTTATGGTTGGTTTTCTTCTATCTCTGTCTTTTTTCCTCTTCCCCTCTGTTGATCTGTTTTGCTTCTTAAATTCCACATAGGAGTGAAACCATATGGTATTTGTCTTTCTCTAAATTATTTTTGCTTAGAATAGACTCCAGTGCCATCCATGTTATTACAAATGTTAAGATTTCCTTCTTTTTGATGGTTAATATTCCATTGTGTGTGAGTGTGTGTATATACACATATTTCTTCTTTATCCATTCATCAGTTGATGGACATTTTGGTTCTTTCCATAGTTTGGCTATTGTTGATAATAATGCTATTAACATCTGGGTGCATGTGCCCCTTCAAACCAGTATTTTTGTGTCCTTTGGGTTAATACCTAGTAGGCACAATTGCTGGGTCATAGGGTAGTTCTAGTTTTAACTTTTTGAGGAAGAAACTACATTTTTGAGGACAAATGGATAGTTTCCATCCTCAGACAGAATAAAGAATATCCAATTGTACCAAGGTCAACAAGAAAAGATAACTAAGATTTTTAGAACTGTAGATGATGTAGGTCTCCTTCTCTCAATAGCTCAGCCTTTGCATGGGCTTACTAAATTTACAATTCCTAACTCTTCCTTGGGATGTAAAAATGAAAAATGCTCTCTACTCTTGTTCTGAATATGCCAAACCCTTCTCTGTGTTCACACAGTATTAACTCAAATATTACCTAAACAGAATACTTTATACCAGAAGTCTATTGTCTATCTTAGCATTTTCCTTGATTTGGAGATGAAGGTACACCCTCTCTGCTTGCACGTGGTGACAGCACTGGCCAGACTTGTTGACACTTCCACTATAATGCTTGCTTCTTCATTCCCACGTATGCACAATTCTTGCTACTTCTAGGCAACACTTGACATTTCTGTTAGCGAATTTACTACTTATGAAATTCCACTGTTTGCTCTGCATATCACTATTCATAGCTGTTCAAAATATAGTTCTGCAAATTTATTCTCTCTTAAGAGTGAAGGGGAACCATATGACTGCTTGCATTCTATCAGGATTTAATTAGGCCAAGATCTGAATCTTGCACTCTTTCGTCAAATTTGAGTTAAATTACTTTGTAGATGGCTTTTATCTTAAAAATGACAAAGGCGTCCTCTGTACAGGGTATGTTGTTATCATTGAACGCACAAGGACTGAAGTGGCTCCATTCCCGATTCCCCAGTCTGCCCGGGTAGCTGAACTAATAGCTCAGACAGGAGCCTGCATTCTGGCAAAAAAGGGGGCTAAATAGTCATATGGATCATAGATGTGCTTTGGGGATGGTTCATGATTTATGGATTTTATGAAAACGGATGATTTATTACTTCTCCACATATGTTGATTGAAAATGATAAAAAGATGACTTATTAGAACTTCATCAATATCCTAAGGAGATAACAGTGTAATAACTGAAGAAAAAAAAAAAAGTCTAGCAACCACCCTAGAAACCAAGAGTAATGCCTTTGCCTTGACTTACAAGCTAATGAAGTTTGTGGCTTTTTAATGCCCTAGCTAATATTAAGTGTTGCTAACTTTATATTTACCACCACCAAATCTACAAAAGAGAAAGGAATCAACTTAGATATGTTATAATTAACTCACGGTCATCAGCTCAACCTACTTAAAAGCAATATTGGCAAAGGATGCTTTATTCCCAGGGAAGGATTCTGGTAATTTGAGGATGACTATCTTTTTTTTTTTTTTTTTTTGAGTTCATGATGCTATTTTATTTTATTTTTTTTTTTTTACAAATAGTTTATTGTCAAATTAGTTTCTACATAACACTCAGTGCTCATCCCCAAAGTGCCCTCCTTCATGCCCATCCCCCCCTCCCCCCCACATCCATCAGTCCTCAGTTTTTGTCAGCATTCAAGAGTCTCTCATGGTTTGCCTCTCTCCCTTTCCCCCACCATTTCCGCCCTTCTTCTCCCCCTTGGTCCTCCGTCAAGTTCCTCCTAATCCTCCTATACGTGCAAACATATGGTATTTGTCCTTCTCTGCCTGACTTATTTCGCTCAGCATAACACCCTCAAGGTCCATCCATGTTGCTACACATGGCCAGATTTCATTGTTTCTCATTGCCATGTAGTATTCCATGGTATAGATAAACCACATCTTCTTGATCCATTCATCTGTTGATGGACACTTAGGCTCTTTCCATGTTTTAGCTATTGTGGAGAGTGC